CTTGACCCTCAAAACGGAGCCTTGTCTCGTTCTTGGGGGGATTTATTGTATGCTGTTCCAGTTTGACTGCTAGGAGTGTAAACCTATTCGTATTATTTTTTCCTATTCGGCTGTTTACAGCATTCGTATGGTTCCGGTTCAGGTGTTTACGGCATTCATATGGTTTCCTGTTTGGCAGATTGGTGTCTTTGGTAGCTGCCTGTGTATCTGGAAGGGGAATATCCTCTAAACTGCGTTTAACCCCTTTTATGCCTGGGGTGCCATTATAACGGTGTCTCACAATTTGAATCATCAGTTATGTTGTTAATGCTCATCTGTACCATAGGAATAAGTAGATACCACTGTGTGGGGGCAAGCAACTAGTAACTTGGTTAATAGTCATTTCACCTCAGCATTTTTCCGTTCCACAACCCCACTACTTTGGGGGTGGTTGGGTGCACTGATTTTCCAAAGTAGCCCAAATGTGGTTGCCCAGTTTTGGGTTTCCTTTGCAGTATCTGCATGACTACCATCTGAGTGGATGGTCCTGGGACTACCAAATGCTTACTAAGGAAGTGAGACTAGCAATCGTGCTATCAGAGGTTGCACTTCGCACAGGATATATCCAAGTAAACCTGGTACATGCATCAACACATACAAAAACATTTATAACCATGAGATGTTGGCAAATGTGCAATAGAAAGTAATTTTAAAAAGTATGTTAGGTATTAATATTTCAATAAACAGTACATCAGTAATGTGGCCTAGTTATCAATAAGCAAATGCTTACAATTACTACACACATGAACTATGGTATTTTCCATATTGGGCCACCAATATTTCTTTTCAGGAGATAGAAGTACATTACCTCTACCTATATGAGCTTGTCCTAGCCATGAATGGGTTTTTAGGGCAAGTCTCTCTTTCCTTTACAGGAAGAACAACCAACTTATTACCTTCAATGGTTATTATATAATTAACCCCTCTAAAGTATAGGAGTATTTATGCGGATAACCAGGTGGATTAGGTCTGGTTATCCTTGCAAGCAAAAACTCTGCATCATGACTGAGAGATAGGGTATGCTTTCGTGATCCAATGACCACTTTAACTGAATAGCATTGGCAGACACATTGCATCAAAGTGCCTGTTAATGACCAACTATGTGAGGAGAGGGACCAAGCTTTGTTATAAGTATGTCCATACATGTATTACAATGCCAGGCTTTGAATTTGTTTCCACAAAGCAATGTGCAGTTGTGGCTTTAAACTCATGACGTATCACAAGAAAAACAGTTTGGGGGCATGGCTGGGCTGCTGACTGAGATGGCTGCTTGCTAGAACAGCTCATTGTATACCAAGCCTGAATCTGTTCAAAATCAACAGCATCCTACATCCAAACATCAAGATTTTAATATATATTTGTGTGGAAACAACTATACAACATGCAGAAAAAAAAACCCCATAAAAAACTGCAATCTGGATCTCAAAAGACTGGAAGGAGTGAGAAGGCCTCATCCCCTCAAGACCCTGATTTTGAGGACGTAGAAGTCATGCGGTGTTTTAGCTGAGGTATCAGATCTACATTCTAAATAGAGATGAGTGATTTTTGGACCCCAAACCCGAGCCTGGACATTTCAGTGACAGTTCGAGTTCGGTGTTCGGCGATTTAATGTCGCGTTTTGAAAAGCTGCAGGGCAGCCAATCAACAAGCGTTTGACTTGTGTGCCCTTAGAAGCCATACTAATGGCATGGCTGTGATTGGCCAGTGCAGCATGGGACCCAGCCTCTATATAAGATGGAGTCACATGAGCTCTTATTAGTGTAGGGAGAGGATTCTGCAGCTGTGAGGGACAGATTAGGAAAGAATTCTGATGTTGAATCTGCAAACGACAGCGATAATTTTTGTGGGTGCTATACTACATTTTTGTACCCTGCCCTGAGCCCAGTGCCACATTACTTTAATCCTGTTCTGGAAGCTCAGTGGGCAACATCTAGGCATTTTTAAATACTGCTGTGACATTGCAGTTTGACTAATTCACATTTTTTTTGGTGCTAAAAAGTAAATTTGTGGCGTGCACTTCATATCTGAGAGTCAAATAGAACCGTCAAATACTGCTGTGACAGTGATTTGACAAATTCAAATTTTTTTTGTGCTAAATAGTACATTTGCTGCCTGCGGTGTGGTTACATCGCACTTTGAAAAATTCACATTTCTTTGGTGTTAAAAAGTAAATTTGGCCACATTACTTTAATCCTGTTCTGGAAGCTCAGTGGGCAATATCTAGGCATTTTTAAATACTGCTGTGACATTGCAGTTTGACAAATAAAAATTTTTTTTGGTGCTAATAAGTAAATTTGTTGCGTGCACTTCATACCTGAGAGTCAAATAGAACCGTCAAAATACTGCTGTGAGATTGCAGTTTGACTAATTCACATTTTTTGCTGCTAAAAAGTACATTTGTTGCGTGCACTTCATATCTGAGTGTCAAATAGAACCGTCAAATACTGCTGTGACACTGCAATTTGACTAATTCACATTTTTTGGTGCTAAAAAGTACATTTGTGGCGTGCACTTCATATCTGAGAGTCAAATAGAACCGTCAAATACTGTGGTTACATCGCACTTTGAAAAATTAAAAAAGTTTTGGTGCTAAATAATACATTTGCAGCCTGCGGTGCATTTCTTGCAGTCCAATAAAACCCTTAAATACTACTGTTACATTGTTGGTTTAAAAAGTCACACTTTTTTGTGCTAAATAGAACATTTGCGGCCTGCAGTGCATTTCTTGCATTCCAAAAAACCCATAAATATTACTGTTACAGTGTTGGTTTAAAAAATCACACTTTTTTGTGCTAAATAGAACATTTGCAGCCTGCGGTGCATATCTTGCAGTCCAATAAAAATACGAATAAAAATAATCACTGGAGAGAAAGAGGAAGTACCCCCTTACCCACCCGCAATCCCTGGCCCTGAATGCCAGCATTTCAAAATTCCTGGCCTTTGCAATGCTGTCACTCCGTCTGGTGGAGACGGACAGTTTTATAAACCTGATGGTGGTGGCTGTCCCACAGTACGTGGTTCCCAGCCGCCACTACTTTTCCAGGCGAGCCATCCCTTCCCTGCACAACCAATTGGCGGACAAAATCAGGTGTGCACGGCGCAACTCCATCTGTGGCAAGGTCCACATAACCACTGATACGTCGACCATTAAGCACGGGCAGGGACGTTATATCTCCCTAACTGGACACTGAGCAAATGTAGTAGTGGCTGAGGCGGATAGCAGTTTGGCACATGTCCTTCCGCCACAGAGGATTGCAGGGCATTTCTCTTTGCCTCCTGTTGCCTTCTTCTCCTGCTCTGCTTCCTCCTCCTCTACCACCTCCTCATCCGGTCAGCGTAACACCTTCACCACCAACTTCAGCACAGCCAGGGGGAAACTACAGCAGGCTGTTTTAAAACTCATTTGTTTGGGGGAAAAATCCCGCACCACGCAGGAGCTGTTGACGGGCATGGAACAACAGACCGATGAATGGTTGTTGCCACTGAGCCTCAAGCCCGGCCTGGTGGTGTGCAATAATCGGCAAAATCTCGTAGCAGCTCTGGCCCTAGCCGGTTTGACGCACATTCCTTGCCTGGCGCATGTGCTGAATTTGGTGATGCAGAAATTCCTGAAAAACTACCCAGATATATCAAAGCTGCTGCAGAACGTGCGGGTCGTCTCGGCGCGCTTTTGGCGTTCTCACCCTGCTGCTGCGCGCCTGTCTACGTTGCAGCGTAACTTCGGCCTTCCCGCTCACCGTCTCATATGCGACGTGTCCACAAGGAATTCCACCTTGACATGCTGGAGAGAATGTGCGAGCAGCAGCAGGTGAGTTTCAGCTGCAGCATGCACAGGTCAGTCGCTCTGCACCAGACTTGCCCTCCAATAGATAATCATTCCAATTACAGGGCCTCGAAAGAGTCCTGTATTGTTATTGTAACAGCTCCCCTGGGCATTAAAGGGTTAAACCGCCGTTTAGAAGATCTTCCCCTTCCAGAGACACAGGCAGCTACTGTAGACACCAATCCGCCGAACAGGAAACCATATGAATGCCATAAACAGCCGAATAGGAAAAACCATATGAATAGGTTTACACTCCTAGCAGTCGAACTGGAACAGCATACAATAAATCCCCCCAAGAACGAGACAAGGCTCTGTTTTGAGGATCAAGCAGGAACAGACAGAGCTGTGGGTTTATTGTTCTTATATACACATTCTTACACATTAGTACCACCCACAGGGTTTTGTAAACAACCAATAAACTTACAATACACTCAGACACTCCCACACAAAATCCTCCCCCCTGCCTGTGATACAATTTACATTTTCAGAATCAGCATACTCCAAATACAAACATACGTCAAAATCATACAAATTGGTCCAGTGGTTCAAAAGATAGATCGTAGTCCTTTCTGACCAAATGAAGCGTGGTTTTTCTGCCTAAAACCAGTTCCACAGAGTCTTCTATCCTGGAGATAATTGGGAAGGACAGAGCCAAAACTCCATTGAACACATGGCAGCAAAAGACAATAAAATACATAAAAATATATAACTGTGTACCCATTGCATTAAACAGGTACATTCAACATATCCCCAGATAGCTCAGATCTGAGCGCACATTATTACTGAATGGCGCTCAGATCACACACATACAGTTCAATTGCCATGGAGCCAAAGTCATTCCCATAGTCTTTCATTATAAGAATGGGCTCCATGGCGTAGCTATCTGGGGTATCACCACTCAAACAGGGCAAGCACCGAATGACCCGGCTTTCATGTCTTTGCAGGGGAAAATCAAGCGTTTTAACATGGGGCCATAGTCTAAAGGGAGCAGGTGGGCAACCAGGCTCCTCCAATGCAATGTGGCGAGATTGCTGTCGTCACAGTTATTTATCGTCACTACCTCCCCGCGTTGGGAGTGGACAATTTGCGCGCCTGCTGCCTTCCTTGGATGTGGTAGCCGTTTCTCAGGCTCCCTCTCTGGAATCGAACCTTGATTCCCCGTTACCCGTGGTCACCAAGGTAGGCGTAGAAAGTACCATCGAAAGTTGATAGGGCAGACATCTGAATGCGTCGTCGCCATCACGGGGACATGCGATCGGCCCAAGGTTATCTAGAGTCACCAAAGTGCCTGTGCAACGACTGCCGAGTTGCCCACATTCTAACTTGTGCTGATTACTGGGTGGCCAGCCTGATGGATCCCTGTTACAAGGACAAAGTGCCGTCCTTAATTCCCTCACTGGAGCTTGATCGGAAGATGCGCGACTACAAGCACATGCTGGTAGACGTGCTGCTGAGGGCATTCCCAACTGACACCGGGGGCTCAGTGGAAGCACAAGGCGAAGGCAGCTGGAGCACCGCCAGCACCTCAGAAGGCAGGGTTAGCATGGCCGAAATGTGGAAAAGCTTTGTCAGCATGCTACAACAACCAGCACCGCCAGCTGATATGGAACGTCTTAGCAGGAGGCAGCATTTCAGCAACATAGTGGAACAGTACGTGTGCACACGCCTACACGTACTGACTGATGGGTCTGCCCCATTCAACTTCTGGGTCTCCAAATTGGGCACATGGCCTGAGCTTGCCCTTTATGCCTTGGAGGTACTGGCCTGCCCTGCAGCCAGTGTATTGTCTGAACATGTGTTTAGCACGGCAGGGGGCGTTATCACAGACAAGCACAGCCGCCCGTCCACAGCCAACGTGTACAAGCTCACGTTTATTAAAATGAACCAGGTATGGATCCCACCAGACTTGTCTGTACCTTGTGCAGAATAGAAATATTTACCGGCCTCACCCAGCCATTGTTATACTCAAGTGCACTTATTCTTTGTTTTCTTATTTTATATGTCCCAATATTTTGGGGACTACCCCAATTGTTTGCAGGGCACTTGTCCTACTCTTACCCCCATTTTACTTCCTTTTGCAGCCCTCAAGCCCTTTCCAGGACTTTTTTAGAGCCATTTTAGTGCCCCAAAGTTTTTTCATATTAAATTATGTTTCATAGCTAAATATTTGATATTAAATGAAAGCCCTGTTTCCCCTGAATAAAATGATATATAATAAGGGTGGGTGTATTTAATATGAAAGAGGTGTATTACGGTTGGACAGACATGTAGCGCAAATGCCAGGTTTTGTTTACATTTTGTTTTGTTCACAACGTGTACATTTGGCTCCGTCCTTAAGGGTTTAAGCCCATAACAGTTGGCTGATTCTACTGTCTACTAATATGTTCGCATGTTTCCTGACGAAAGCTGCCAAACTACCAAACATCCATTTTTTGGAGAACACATCATTTACCTGCCTTCGAGACTGTACCGCACGAACAGAATTGGAAAGCACGCAACGTTTTGTTTCAACTACTTCTCCTGACTGAACAAATTTGACTGAATCCTTATAATGAAAACTTCATGAATATTTACAAAGTTTAAATGGATATTATTTCACCTAACTTTTCTGATGAATGGGATATATTTAAATAGTTAATTCATTTTTTGTTGTTGTTTTTTTTGTTGTTTTTACCCTATCCATTTACGGGCTTTACCTCACTAATACCCATCCTAGTGAGAGGTTTCATGTGAATTGTTTCCTAATGACATATTAACACTGTGCGTTTGTTTTGAAAACTCTCTATTGAGTTGATCTTAATCACTCAAGAAGTGGGCTCCCTTGATTAATTCAAAATAAGTTATCTACATTAAGACAAATATTTCTAAGCAAATGGCATACACATTTTATTGGTACTACATGCTAGCCGATATTTTCCTTTACGAAGAAATATATTTTTTTATTATTAAAATTGCTGTTTTTTTATTATATGCTGTCTACAAGATTGACACGGTGCTTCAACTCTTTGGAACATTGCACCAATCCCTCACTACTCATTTCACAGGTTTATGTGACGAGATCTGTAGAAATATTGCAAATACATCTGTTAGATCTCCGCGGGGTCTCAGTACGTTGGGTCGCTGCGCAGAACTGCTGATTTACAAGCAACAGATTTTACAACACAATTTGTGAACAAGTTTGGTTAGTCACATGTATATAGTTATTCTCCTTATGTATAAGATCACTGAGATGTCTCAGTTACAAGGGTAATCACATTAATCTGTGTTTAAATTTAAATTCAAAAAGGCTCACTGAACACAAGTTTAATTTAATGCAGTGGATGTGATCTATTTGGATTTTGCATTTGATACAGTTCCACACAATAGATTAGTGTTCACACTCAAGGAAATCGGTCTAGATGAAAATGCTTGTTCTTGGGTAGAACATTGGCTTAAAAATAGAGTACAAAGAGTTGTCATTAATGGTAAATTTTCAAGCTGGGCATAGGTGGCAAGTGGTGTCCCTTTGGGTTCTGTTCTGGGACCCCTTCTATTTAACATGTTTAGAAATGATCTTCAAAACAGCATTGAAAGTCATGTTTCAGTGTTTGCAGACGACACAAAACTCTGTAAAGTAATATAATGTGAGCAAGATATTACTTTGCTGCAGAGGGATTTAGATAGACTGGGGGATGGGGCACTCAAATGGCAGATGAAATTTAATGTTGAAAAATACAAAGTTATGCACTTCGGCGTAGAGAATGCACAAGCAATGTATACCCTTAGTGGAAGCGAATTAGGGATAACAACACACGAAAAGGACTTGGGAATTGTTATAGACAACAAACTATGCAACAATGTGCAATGTCAGTCAGCAGTGGCAAAGGCCAGTAAGGTATTGTCATGCATGAAAAAGGGCATTCATTCTCGGGATGAGGATATCATTTTGCCTCATTGTAAATCACTGGTAAGGCCACATATTGAATATGCTGTGCAATTTTGGGCACCTGTTCTAAAGAAGGATATTATGGCGGGCTACAAAATAATAAAAGGAATGAAACATATCAGCTATGAAGAAAGGTTAACAAATGTAAACCTCTTTAGTTTAGAAAAACATCGCCTGAGAGGGGATATGATAACATTATACAAATATATTCGGGGCCAATAAAAACCATTGTGTGGATATCTATTCACAAACCGTGACTGGAAGAAAGAAGATTTCGTCTTAGGAAAAGGAAAGGTTTTTTTTACTGTAAGAACAATATGAATGTGGAATTCTCTGCCTGAAGAAGTGGTTTTATCAGAGTCCATACCGATGTTCAAACAGCAACTAGATGCATACTTGCAAAAACAGAATATTCAAGGATATAATTTTTCAATGTAGGGTAATAACTGCTTGATCCAAGGATAAATCTGACTGCCATTCTGGGGTCAAGAAGGAATTTTACAAACTGGGTTTTTTTGCCTTCTTTTGGATCAACCGCAAAAAACAAATGTGAGGAAGGCTGAGCTTGATGGACACAAGTCTCTTTTCAGCTATGTAACTATGTAACTATGTAACTAAATAATGTATAAAGGAATTTTAATAACTCTTTGTTATTGCATAGAACACCTCTTCCATTTACTATAATTTCAAGATGGCTTGGTTAGGGAGTAAGTACCATCTCCCAATGACACCCCACCTGAAAGGCCGCAGATATGACGAGAGAGACTCTTTTTTCCTGCTCTCTCATGGCCTATTTTTGGGGGAATTTTTTTTTATCACACCAGTAACGATAAAAGTTTTCTTTATTATTATTGTCACGTGCGTGGGCTATAGGCCCAGCCGAGACAGTGGGGAGAGTGTGGAAGTGACAGGGTTAATGACACCAGACCCCTGGTTACCTGTTGCTAGTCCCAGCAACCACTCAATTAACCCCTGCAATCCCTTCTACACTAACACCCTTAGTACATACTCTACTGCCACCACCAAGACTTTTAAACCCGGGCGTCTTAGGTTACCCCACACACAGGAGAATTATAGTATCACAGTTCTACTTTTACTGATAAAACATATATAGTTAACCCTTTTTGGTAACGTGTTTACCTGAGCTTTCCTCTGGAGAGTGAAGCTCATAGAGAACAGAGACACAAGCTGATTAAGTAAACATTTAATCTGACAAAAAGGATTCACAGTGCTGAGTACAAAATACAGAAATAAATGACATACAGATAACAAATTGCAAAACAGTACATAAAATAAAATAGGAGAAAACACAAGAAATTCCTTACATATATTTACCCCATATAGAATTCTTGTGGGAGTCTTAGATGGTATAGGTCTCCTAGAAGTTACTGACAAAAAGAAAAATGAATAACTGACCTCCCTGGATAGTCCAACACCCTCATATATCTAAACTAGTTGTTTCTCAGTGGGCAGACCCCTGGGGGGATCAGAGGGGGTTGGTCTGGCAGTCTATTGCCCACTCTATGAAATTCCTTGTGTCCAGCTCTGATGATGGCTATCTAGATGTTTTATGGTCTAGGCCTGGTGCAAGATCAAAGACCACAATAAATGTCATCCCAAGGTTTACAAAAAAACAACTCTTAACATATATAAACACACATCAAACACCAACTCATGCTTTTGGCATGACAATTATTTTCTCTCTTTTCCGCCTCCTTCCCTTAATATATTCCTACCCTCTCCAAAACACTGACAAACAATGATCAATCAAATTCCAGTGAGATAAATGCTAATGTTCTTTGTGTCAACCAAATTGCACCAACAATCTTGGCTATGAGGTTCCCAAATATACAGACTGATAATAAAATCAATATAATAAAATGAATCTAAAAATGTTATCTCTCAACACGAGAGGTCTTAATACCCCCATAAAAGAAGACTCCTTTTGAAAGACGCCAAAAACCAATCTGCATTCAGGAAACCCACTTTCCTAACTGTATGAATAAAATATACACTACACAATTTCATTTTACTTTTCATAAAAAAGCAAGTGGAGTATCTATCCTCTTTAATAAAAATTCATCTTGTATAACTGAAAAAATCCTAAAAGATAAAAATGGAAGATACTTAATATGGATTGTAAGAATAAATGCAATTGATTACACCATAATCAATGTTTATTTTCCGAATTCTGGACAAATCAAGCATCTACAATTCATTCTAGACAAATTCACAAAACAAAAAAAAGGCAAAATTATAATCTGTAGAGACACTAACTTTGTCCTTGACTATGACTTGGATATCACCAGGGAACAACTCTGTAATTTGGAAACAAATGCTACCTCAAGGACTGCATTGGCCAGCTCTAAACTGATTCATTCTTACGGGTTGTTTGACTCATGGAGATTGACACATTCTGGAGAACAAGACTATACCTATTATTCTATGGTACATAACATGTACTCAAGAATAGAT